ACAGTTTTGTTATAACAGAATTTGAATTTTTGTAAGACATTTTTTCTCTTTCATTTGGAGATATCCCAATGTACTCTAAATATTTCTTTTCCACTTATAGATCTGATCTTTTGAATAAGTTCTCTCTGAAATTTCAAAAAGTACTTTATTCTTGGACTAGAATTATAGCTTCCATATTTTTCTCACATTTATTTCCTTCGGCTCCCTTCCCCCGAGCAATCTGTTCCTGTTTCTTAAAAATCTTTCCAGATACATTTCATGCATATATAAACATTATGTTTGTGAGTATATACATATGTATTTTTCTTCACTTAAAAATTTGCAAATGGTAAGCTAGTACATCCTACTTATTCTGCATCTTACTTTCCCTTGTGTTACATCTTAGAGACGTTCCATGTCAGTGGGTGTGATGAGTCCAGGAAACAAGGGATGGAAATGGAAGTGTCACCACTCACTGCTACCTCAGTCACCCACTAGCAAAATTTTTGCGCCTTGTTCCCACAACTTTATGTTCTGCTGGCCTAGACATCTTTATTCCAAAGGGGAAAATGCTTCCACCTAGAGGCACAACAATGATTCCACCGCATGGGGAGTTAAGGCCCAGCCGCTCTGGGCTTCTCATGCCTCTCAATTATCCGCAAAGAAGGGAGTTACTGCACTGTGTAGGGTGATCGATCCTGACTACCAAGGGGAAATTGGACTACTAGTCTACAGTGGTAAAAAAGAGTATTCTGAAATATGGGAGGTCTCTTAGTTACCATATTCTGTGATTAAGATCAATGGAAAACTACAACCTAATCTAGGCAGGAGTATAATGGCACAGACCCCTCAGGAATAAAGATTGGAATCACTTCACCGGGTAAAGAACCTTGACCAGCAGAGGTGCTTGATGATGGCAAAGGGGATACAAAAAGAGTAGTGGAAGAGGTAGATATAACTACCAGCTGTGATCACATGGCCAGTTATAGACATGAGAGCTAAACGTGTCATAAGTATTTCCTCCCTATGTTGTTATGAATATGTTTGTGTGTGTATATCTGGGTATGGCAAATATCTTTGTTTCTTCTTATTCCCTTATCATGTAGCATAAGATTATTGACTTTATAGCGTTTAAGTTATAAGGTGTCAAAATGAGGACTTTACCTCCTCTTTTGATGGTGGGGTTAGTGCATTTTGGGTTGTACACAGGATAGTTGTATCATATTGTGGAATTATGACTCCCTTAGTGCCTTCACTGGAGAGTCAGTATGGTTTAAGGAGATGCGTAGATGTTCCAAGTTGATGTGGGGGAGACTTGTTTTGTGTTAACTTGACTGGGCCATGGGGTCCCAGATATTTGGTTAAATGTTATTCTGGATATGTCTGTGAGGGTGCTTCTGGATGAGATTAGCATATGAATAGTAGACTGAGTACAGCAGATTGTTCTCCCTCCCCAATGTGGTGGGCCTCATCCAGCAGGTTGAAGGCCTGCAAAGAAAAAAAAAAGTGAAGTAAGGTGACAGTGAAATAAGACTTCACTCTCTCTACTTGTCTTTGAGCTGGGGCATAGGTGTTCTCTTGCCTTCAAACTCAGACTTGGACTGGAACTTGCACCATCAGCTCTGTTGATTTTCAGGCCGTTGGATGTGGACCAGAACTATTATGGGCTTTCCTGGGTCTCCAGATGGCTAACCACAGGTTTTGGGACTTCTCACCCTCCATATTCGTGTAAGTCAATTCCTTGTAATAAATCAACCAATCCGTCTGTCTATCTATCTATCTATCTATCTATCTATCTATCTATCCATCTATCTATGTATCTATTTATCTATCCTGTTTCTGTTCCCTGGAGAACAAAGACTGATAAGTGTACAGAGAGATCGCCTTTATTCTTTTCTTTAAAAAAAAAAAAGATTTTATTTATTTACCTTTAGAGAGAGGGGAAGGGAGATAGAAAGAGAGGGAGAGAAGCATCAATGTGCCAATGTGCCAGATTGGTCACCTCTCGCACGCCCCCAACTGGGGACCTGGCCTATACCCAGGCATGTGCCCTGACTGGGAATCGAACTCATAACTTTTTGGTTTTGCAGGCCAGTGCTCAATCCATTGAACCACACCAGCCAGAGTTCCTTAATTCTTTTCAATGGCCAGATTGTATCCCTAATGATGAAAGTGCCCTAATTGAATCTTCCTCAGTGATAATACAATGAGGCTCTTCCCAGTGTTTTTCTAATTTCATGAGCGTATCAATAAATATCTGTAGATATACATCTTTGCGCACAAATGCTACTTCACCTGAAGATCAAGGAATGTGATTCATGAACCTTAAGGGTGATAAATCTATATTTGTTCTGTGCATGTTTTCTATATACCTTAGAATGCAATTTCCCAATAGGAAAGCTCTGTAATGTGTATGTTTATATGTACAATGTCAGTACAATGTATGTACAATGTCAGACATGTTGACATTATAACTGTTTAATAACTATTTTAAAGCAATAGTAATTTTCAGAATAGCCAGTCAATTCATGTAACAAAACTAACTAAATACCAGTAAGGACATTCTCTTTAAGTGTATCTCTTGAACTACATAAGCAGAGAGAGTGCTTTCAGCAGGCCAAAGGATGTTGGCTCTTCTTTTCAGGAAGCCCAATGAGTCTCCTTGGGCCTCTTCTTGTAACAAACACCCACTAGAATTATGATTTTGGAATCATTTCCATTGCAAATCCCCTCTTTCCACGCCCCTTTAAAATGCAGCTGTGATATTTGGCTTCTAACCAAGGCCTGCTGCACCAACAATTCTCTAAATTTTATTTATATTTCATGTGCAGTATGTTCAAACTCTCACTTTCCCAGGTGCCAGATGCTGGTTTGGACACTCTCCAGTGGAAAGTGTTTTCCTGTAAAATAATAAAAGTAAAATGCTGAACAAACCGACTCTTTATATCAGACTTGTACCTATTTTACCAGAGTTAAGTACTCTAATAATGACTTCATTACTGTCCCAAATTTGCAGCCCCCCAAATTCCCTCTTCACCTACCTCCACAGCAAATTGTGCTTTGCTTCCGTAGGATATAAAAGCTTATAGTCATTTCACATTTCTACAGTGTTCGTTTGAAAGTGTTAGAGTGTAGGAATCTGTCTCACATGATTTCAGTGGTGCCTGATGTAACCCACCCACAGGTATTTCAAATATGATTTGGGTGAGAAGATAAAGCATGAATCCATTTACAGGATTTTAAAATATATTTAATAACTTAATGTCTGTTTTGTTAATAGCTTTAACATGTTTTCACCAAAAAGTGATGCTTTCTGTGTTTTATAATTTTGTCCCTGCAGTGGCACAGAATTTTGGCCTGACACTCTAAAAATTAACTCAGAATTTGTTTGTGATAGGTTTCTTGCCTGCTTAAAGGCAGTCCTCAATCCAAAGACCCTACTTGTGAAATGAGTAGCATTATTAGGTAGATACTAAGAAAATAGATATAATTTTTTAGATACTGCCAGTCCACTCTTGGCTTACACCTCCATCTATTGCACAGGTTTATGTGGTAATATTTCACTGAACTGAAAATGAGTAAAATTCCTTTTTCTAGCCTTGAAAAATTGAAAACCTTAGGCATGAAGATTTGTGCCAAAAACTTGTGGTTATATTCTGAGGTTTAAATGAATTCTGTAAAGCATGCTGTAATTTGTGTGTGTGTGTGTGTGTGTGTGTGTGTGTGTGTGTGTGTAAAGCCGCTATAAAATAACAAAAATTTCTGCTTGGCTGCCAAGTATCTCTTTTCACAGCATTGGGACCTGGTAGATCTAATTTTCTTTTTCACTCTTTCCATCAGATGGCGGTAGATGCCCAAGAAATAACTTCGGAAGGGCTGCTGGAGGGCGGTGAGAGGAGTGTTTTTTCTTTCCACCCCGTTGTTGGTAGTTGAGCTGACACACGCGAAAGGTAGATTGTGGGTGGGCGTGGTATACATTTTATTTTTTCGGTATGTGCATGTGTATGTGTGGCCAGCAGATTTGCCACAGACCACCTGTTTAATCCAGGCTCTCTCTAAGGGTAGCATTTGCCAGCTGGCACCAAAAAAAAAAAAAAAAAAAAAGAAGAAGAAGAAGAAGAAGAAGAAGAAGAAGAAAAAAAAATCCCTAGAATTTTTCTCAACTATCGACAGACCTGGTATAAGCTATGGAACCCATTCAGGAGAGCAGCCAGCGTTGATTTAAAGATGCTGGGGCATCTGTTGCATACACTTATGGACATGGACGACAGCCACTGGCTGGTGGGGAATGGCGGCTGCGGCCTGTGGGTTGAAATCCCACAGTACGATCTGCGATCGACCCACAAGTGTTATGGATTCCCTCACGTGTGCCTAGCACCAGATCAGAAACTACAAAAGAAAATGAGGTGGCGTCCTCCAGTCCTCTTATAGGAGAGAATACAACACATATAGAGGAGTAAGTGCCCTGCAAAACCTAGCCTGAGGAAATGATACTTGTGTCATTAAGGTGGTAAGTTCTATAAGACTTAGGAGAGGTCAGTGGAGTACGAAATGGCCGAAGGGTTAGGCTTTGTGTAGGGAGAGAGAGGAGGGAGAGGAATAAGAATAAGGGTAAGAGAACTCGGGTGGGGGGACCGTGGAAATCTTTGGGAGAAGTCGAGAGAGAACTGAGAATTTGGAAGGGGAGAGGAAATGAAGGGAGGGGTGAGGCCAAGTCCAGCAACCTCGGAAAGGCGGGCTCAGCGGACCCGTCTTTCTTTAGGCCCGGGCATTCCCGTTGGAGTGGAGCGTTTCCGGTCAGCTTCCACGCCAGCACTGTTCCCCGAGCATTTTGACCACGCAGTGGAAGTCGGCACCTGGTGCCTCAGCAGCTGCGGGCAGTGCCGGGACACATGGCGCGGCCAGACTACCAAGAGGGGGCGTGGCGAGGGGCGGGCCGGAGGGGCGTGGCGTGGGCGGCCCTGTGTGGGCGGGGCTCTTCTGCTGCCCCCGCCACCGCCGCCGCTGCCGCCGCCGCCTCTGCCAGCCGCGCGGACCGAGGGAGCCGGGTGGCCGCCGCCTGCACGCCCGCGTGCCGGGGCTGCGGTGGGCCAGGATGTCGGGCTTCCTGGAGGAGCTGCTCGGCGAGAAGCTGGTGACGGGCGGTGGCGAGGAGGTGGACGTGCACTCGCTAAGCGCCCGCGGCATCTCGCTGCTCGGGCTCTACTTCGGCTGCAGCCTGAGCGCCCCCTGCGCGCAGCTCAGCGCCAGCCTGGCCGCTTTCTACAGCCGCCTGCGGGGGGACGCGGCGGCCGGGCCAGGGGCCGGGGCCGGGGCCGGGCCGGGGCCGGGGGCCGGAGCGGCCGCGGAGCCGGAGCCGCGGCGCCGCTTGGAGATCGTCTTCGTGTCCTCAGATCAGGACCAGCGGCAGTGGCAGGAGTTCGTGCGGGACATGCCGTGGCTGGCGCTGCCCTACAAGGAGAAGCACAGGAAGGTGAGCGGCGCGGGCCTCGTCGGCGCCCTGGGCTTGGGTGCGCACCCGCGCGTTCCCAGGAACCCGGTCCTCGCCTTCCCCCGCCCGCCAACCCACTCCACTGTCCCCTCTGCCCCCTACTTCATCTTTGCACTCGCTTCCCCTCCTGTCCCTCAGTGTTCCCTTTCTCTGTCTGTGCCCGCCCCCCGCCCCCATCCCGGGACCCCGCCGGGTTGGGGCTCCCGCGGCAACTCCTCGGTGCCTGTGCCAGGCCGCGTCCGCGGGAGAAGTTTGACACCCCTCGGTCCCCCAACCCCGGCTTGCGTCCTGTGGAGTCCATAGCCCTGTCCCCACAAGTTGGGAGCCTCGCGTAGAGGGTGGCTGCCCTGGGAGTCCCTACTCCGTGACTCGTATCGCGGTCCAGAGGTGCAGGGAGAGGCCGCTTTCTTCCCTCAGCCGCGGGACTTCTTGCGGATACCTGTAGTGGGTGGGGGAGGGCGCTAGCCCCCTACCCATAATGCCCAAACCAGGAAGTTTCTATTCGAGAGAAATCTGCTTTTCTGGGGCCCCCTTTCCCTGGGACCCTGGACCCAGAGGCCCAGGACAGGCCTCCCTGCACCGTGGGGAAGCGGCCGCTGACCGTGGCTTTAGGCAAGAAGGGAACTCACTCCTCTCCCTTTCCCACTCTCTCTGCACCCGCGGCTGAACTAGTGGCCACCCGGGAGCTTTTCATTGTCTGGCTGTCCAGCCATTCTCCCCAGATGCCTCCCAGGCACAGGAACAGACCGTTCTTGCAGGTCGTAGTTGCTTGGTTGGTGGGCCACTGTCGTCTTGGCAGGCTTCGAATTAAACGCTGAACTGATCCCATAGGTGCAGGTTGACCGGAAGAACTAGGATTTGGGGAAATTTATATATACTTCGCTGTCAATTTCTCATTCCTTCCAGTTTACTACTGAAGTTAGTTTGGATTTTTGAGTGTATCTGTTGGATGAAGATTTCTGTTTTAATAAAAGGAATTCAGGAATTTTTGTTATGAATTGAAACAAAAAGTTTTGGGGTGCTCTTGCTTCATTAGTATGCAACGTGTGAATCCAGTCTTTTTTCTGAGGACAGTCTCAGTTTATGGACAGGAGACGGGTTGTATTGGGGGCCTGAAGGTTCTTCTAGGGAGGATGGTAATGGCATGCCGTGTATTTGTTTTATGTGTATAGAATCTTGTTGAGAAGCATGATTTAGATTTAGTGAGAGCAGAAGGCTTATACTGTGACCCCAAATGTCTCCAGTAAATCATCTGTCTTGATGCAGTGTAAGGTACAGACTTGGGATTTAAAGTATGAAATACAGTTTAACAAATAGAGTTTCTACATGTAACACTGGAAAAACATGGGCTCACTAACCACACAGAGGCAAAACTTGGCATTTTAAGCACTTTTTAGATGATTTTTGTCCATCTTTGATTTATACATTTGATAGTGCATTAATATGAATGGCTAGTCCTTTTTTGCTTTACAATATGGAACCCTTTGTTTTCCTTAGTGGTTGTATTTATAGGTTTTTTTGGATTTACCAAATAACATTTTCATCATTATGGCAGGTTTCTATAGTAGACCAAAGTCTGAGTTAACTAATGTCCTTATTGGGTAATGCCAGTGACTTCTAGCTTTTGCAAACATACAAGGATGGTAAAATGTGACAGACCTAAGGCCTATTGTGATTCCCACAGTGGGGGAAATAAATTCACTGTATAGTAAAAAATATGGAGAAAATTTAGATGTTTTGCAAATACTTTGAGCTTTTTCTTGAAAAAGGAGAATGTTAGATAGGACAGAGGCCATGCCAGGGTCTCTGTGTCCTCTGGCTAGTCCCTTGGCACGAAAAAATGTGTGGTCTGTGGCCCCAGCCTGGACCGGCTAATTCTACCAGTTTGAGTCTGGAGGATACAAGGCAGACCCTCATTTGAAAACACACTTCAGAATGTGCACGTGCCCAAACCATGACGCATTAGCATTTAAAATTTTCATTATTTTGCTCCGAGTTTTCCTGTTTACTTTGTTCTCTAAAACAAGTCCAGTTCTGAGGCTGCAGTTTTTGTTCTTGGATGCTCATGAATAGGCAGCTCAAGATCTTACGCCAGAAACATTCTTATTTGAGGTGATACAACCAGGTAAAAAGACTCCAGCTGTGTTTCTTATGGAAAACATACTCTTGGAAGTTACAAAAGCTGTGCACTCACTCTGAAAGGAGTTATTTTTCCTTGAAACCAAAGACATGTAGAACAAATTCCTTTTCTGTAATTTTGAGCTTTTGTCTTGCTTGTTTGAATTTGGGGTGCTTAGAATCTGTGAGCTTGTGATGCCAGCTCCGTGATAACAACTGAAAAGTCCCGGGCACCCCTAGTGCAGGCTGCTGGCTGGCTGGACACCTACCTCCTTGTTGATGGGCCCTGTCCATGAGTCACCAACTATAAAAGTGTCTCTAAAGAAGAGAACTTTGTTTTGCACTGAAGATAAACCAAAGTCCCAGATTACTACTTTTTTAAAGTTCTCATTAACATTTGTTCTTTAAAACCATTCGTATACTGCTTCCCATTGGGATAACAAAGGATATGGTTCTAATTAGTTATTGGCTGGCATTTCTCTAAAGAAAATTGAAAAATTATGGTGGAGAAAGAAAATGCCGTGTAGTATTGCTTTTTTTCTTCTTTTATTAATTTCCCCTTTTATGTAGTAAGAAAGTCTGGGGATGACCATATATTTGAAGCCTGCATTTTGCCTGTTTCCTCTCACCTTGATTGGAGCTGTGAGAAAACAGCAAATAAAAGAGTTCTGGCATCTTTAAAAAAAACTGTTGATGGAAGGTTGTCCTGTTTCTACTTGCGTTAGTGGTAGGTGCAAAAGTAATTGAAGCTTCATTGTCTGGCTTCCAAGTACACACATATAAATAGCTGTATAAAAATTGTAATTAGATGATAATAGATCTTTGAGTGAATTTATAAGAGCAGTTTTGTGAGGAAACATAATCCTGAAGTTTAGGCAGTTAGACTGGTTTTAAGTGGGTTTGTTTTTTGTTTTGTTGGTAAACATTTTTGCAATTTCTGGAGAGAGAGAAGGTGATGAATAGTTGGAAAGTGGTGAAGATTTTGACTTTTGGGATTTGATCTATCTCATTTGATTAGTGTAAGTTACATAGTTGTCAGAACTGGGTAGTTGATCTCCAGGATCTACTTTAGCATCACAGAGGAGAGCCCTGGTTTTGGTTTTAAAGTCACAGGACTCAGCTTTGCCTGGGCTGGTTGCCTGATGGGAAACATTTGATCAGGTGTGGGTGTGCGGATGTTAAAGGGCACAGGTTTGCTGGGGTCTGGCTTGGTCCTAGAACTTCCTGCCTGACAAAGGGCAAGAGAAGGTCGGGGTGGGAGAGTGGCAGACTCACGGGACTCTGGTCCAGCACCCCTGGTCTACCTGTTGCAGCTAGGATAAGGGAATCGTGTTACTACATTGTGTGGTTGCTTGCTCTGTGTGTTTCTTTTGGTTCAGACTAAATCAGCAGCTTGGCCTAGAATTCACCTGAATCCCTTTGGTCCTTTGGATGGGCAAGATTTTGTACCAACTGAGTCTTATAGCCCCATCTATCTCTCCCGAGTCTTTCTCCCTTAAATCCAAATCACCTAGCCACTGAGAGAGTGATTTCTACAACACTGACAGTCTACTGTCTTTGTTTGTTTCTTTCTTTCGTTCTTTCCTAAGATTTTAACATTTATTTTCAGAGAGGGAAAAATAGAGAGCAGGAAATATTGATGAACAAGTTTGCACGCTGAAAATCCAGGCTTGTACCCTGACCAGGAATTGAACCAGTGACCTTTGGTTGGCAAGCCAGTGCTTGCTCTACTGAGCCACACCAGCCAGGGCTTTTTCTTTTCTTTTTCTTTCTTTTTTTTGACAGACTACTTTTCGATCAGTATGGCAAAAGATGGCAAAAAGGCATGGGGTTTTCTGCCTTCCACATAAGGAGCCTGTGCCAGCCAGGAGAGGTGCCCTCCAGGACTTGGATCTGTCTAATGAAAAACAACAGTCCAATTAAAGTAATAAGAGCAATTTTCCTTCAGAGGCTTTTTCCTTGTTCCATTATTTGTAATGTATTTTTAATCTCATTTTTCTTCTCTGCATAACAAAGCTGTCTAGTGTAATGCCTAAATATACAGACTCTTGTCCATCTACCTGAGTTCAGATCCTGGCTCTGCCTTCTATTAGCTCTGTGACCTTGTGCAAGTCACCCTACATGTCTGTGCCACAGGTTCCTCATCTGTAAAGTGGGGATGATCATAGCACCTGCCTTGCAGGACTGTTGTAAAGACTGCACGAGATAATATACACATGCCTGGCATATCATATGTGCTCCGTAAGTGCTAGCTATTGTTTGTTAATACATTCTCATGGAATTTGGTAATTCATGTCATAGCTTGAGCCTTTGGAACATATCACATTATAGAATTGCAAAACTATTATGAGGTGTATTTTTTAACTTTTCAAACAAATGACTTTTATGAGCATACAAACGTATATAGTTAAGCAGTTGAAAGAGTTGCCCTTGAAAAGATTATAATTGAGTAGAAAGACCTAGAAGAATGAAACAAAAGCAAATGAATATATGTTTGTTAAAAATTCTGTTCCTTAGAATACTGATAGTACTGATACTGACTAAACTCCATGCTTCTATTTGCCTTTAAAACAGAGACAGCAGATCAATGAAGGCTAGGCGTGATTAAGGGTAACAGCTTTAAGATGATGAGACGCTCTTCTTGAGAGAGATTAATTATGTACTTGGTGATGGTTTTGTGGTGTGCCAAAGCTATTAGGCATGTCTTCCACGGGTGGCTGCTTCAATCTGGGCAGCATGGAAGTTGCGGATCACTGCTCTTTCACATGGGAAGAAATGGACCGTGCTGGGTTTCTGGAGCAGCAGAAACCTCGCCCCCTATGATGGAACTGCCCCCTTCCCAGCTCTGGAATGTTGTAGGATAG